AATTATTGACGTAAATCCTTTGGATACAATACACATACTCATGCATAAAAAAAAATTCAACATTGACCCTTTAAGGTTACAGTCGATTTTCTTTGTAGGAAGTCAATAACATTTTATTTGTTTACAAGCAATAAGTCGGTTTTACCTTCCCATATGATTAAGATCGGTGATCGATTTTTAGCTTATTTGGAGCAATGTCCTCAGTTCTGGAGCAAACTTTAACCAAGAGAAGAAAGATATTCCACACTCACAACGCTGGTGGCTGTTGGAAATTAACTTTACTTTTATTTCTTTCTCTTTTTTCTTCGCACTATTGCTCTAGATTTAATTGCCACGCACTCTCCAGTACCAAAAGGATGAAATGAATGTGGAATTTCGTCACGGATGCCCAAGACTGCTGTAAATATTATCGTATGTATGTTTTTTTTTATTTATTACCCACTTTAAAAATTAGAAATTTTCCACTGCTGCTGTCTTGCTCTACCTATAGCAATATTGCACTTTGAGTTTATGCACCAAAACACTTTTTAAATCCTTTCTCTTCTGCAGATTACACTTGACGCAGTTTACAAACATTTTAAATGACACTTATAATAACACAAATAATTTTCATATCATTATTTTCGATTTAATGGCGAACATGGTACCAAAAAAGAATTAAAATGTTCGACATTGATAATTAGGAATACAAACGTTGTATCGATAATTTTTAAACATCGATAATATCGGCTCAAAATTCGATATTTGCCAGAGCATACGTTCTGCGTTCTTGACTAATTTCAGCTTGAGTCACACTAAAGTCGGTGTTAAAGCATCGTTGAAACTGGCATCGATGTGTCGTCAATTTAGGGCCGGTTGTTCAATGTCTGATTAGCACAAATCAGAGGTAGAAGCTCCGGTTAAGCACAACTACTGCTTTATCGATCCACATGTTAAATGCATGATGTCGAAATCGTCGATAGTGTAGTGGTAGTGATAACCAGACAGTGAACAACCGGCCCTTAAAGAATGTAATGAAATTTTATCGATGGTTAACATGAATTATAAGCTTCTGATAAATTTCAAATACTTAGGGCCGGTTGTTCAATGTCTGATTTGCAAAAATCGGAGGTAGAAGCACATGTTATAAGCGTGGTGACGAAAACGTCGACAATGATGTTTAACCGGCAAGTAGTGATAACCAGACATTGAACAACCGGCCCTTAGTCAGAACTTACAGGAATTCGTTCCTATTGACATAAAACCTGTAAGTGGGAACACTTTTGAGAGAGTAACTGAGCAACTGTTCCTAGTCAGAAGTTACAGGATTTAGTCCGGAGTTTTTTTCCTGTAAGTTCATGAAAAGTGTCAAACGATCAGCTGATTTGCATGTGCGAAACAAAAACAGAAAGCGGTGAAAGCAAAGAAACTGATTTTTGTAAAAAAAAATGGAAGGAAACAAAGAAATGTTTGAATATGTATACATTCTAGTAATTATTTAGTGATATTTCAGCCAAATCAGTATTGTACCAATGACATGTAAACAAACCGGCTGACGTTTTTACAGGAAATAGTGCTTTTTGCCATGATTCAATAATTAGTCTGTTCCAATAGCAGTCCGGTTTACAGGATTTAGTCAAAACTTACAGGAAGTCGTTCCTATTGACATAAAACCTGTAAGTGGGAACACATTTCAGAGAGTAACTGAGCAACGGTTCCTAGTCAGAAGTTACAGGATTTAGTCCGGAGTTTCTTTTCCTGTAAGTTCATGAAAAGTGTCAAACGATCAGCTGATTTGCATGTGCAAGCAACAACTAACAGCGGTGAAAGCAAAGTACCTTATATTTGTAAAAAAATGGAAGTAAACAACGAAATGTTTGAATATGTATAAATTTTAATAATTATTTAGTGATATTTCAGCTAAATCAGTGTTGTACAAATGACATGTAAACAAACCGACTGACGTTTTTACAGGAAATAGTGCTTTTGCGTTCCTATGCACTTCTGCATCTGTTCTCCTTTTACTCTCATTTGATAGCGGAAAATTGTAGTTTGACAGTTCCACAGGTTTTAGTCCGAAGTTCAAAGGAACAGACTAAATACAAGGTTCGATAAACTGACAGTTGTCTCTCTCGCACCGCTCCCTTAGCAGTGGCACCGTGTTGGTTCTTTGCAAATTTACATGGAAACAGTCAAGGCGTATAATACGGCGTTAAATACGCCTTGGAAACAGTTCAGCTTTGGTGTGAAACAAAAGTATAAGCTTTAGTGCAATATGTTTATTTGTATATGCATATGAAGCATATTTAACTGATGAAAACATAAACTGCTTTTAAATTGGATGTTTACATCAATCTCATAGTAGTCTTATTTTAATTTTGAGTCATTTTGCAGTTTTTATACAGCTAAAGAGCACATAAATTACGTAATTCACGTAGATATATCAATATCACGTTCAACATTTCGTTTAAAATGCCAGATTTCCTGCAAATACATTAGAATTTACAAAAGGAATTTCACTGCTAATTGCCTACGTTGCGTACTTTTCTACTACCATTTTCGCACCAAGAGATTTTATTCTTCCCCTTTCTCCGTTATTCAGCCCTATTCTGCATTTCGACTCGAATCGAAATTTTCTCCGTTTGGCAACTTTGGTATTCTGCGTTCCTTTCCTTTCGATCAATCTTCGAAATTTACGATTATACCTATTCTACATTTCGATCGTAGTTCCGTTTTTCTAAGTTGCAAATTTGTTGACGGAGAACGTTTCAATTGTTATTTTCGTGGGTTTAAATAATAAAGTTTTATAAAAAATTTAAGTAAAATATACTATGCATGATTGTAAAAGTCATCATAAATGAATTTTCTCGATTTCTGTGTTTTCGCGAGCGGTAATACGGGCAATACGAAAAATTGGCTCAAATAATGGCAACCAAAAGGTATATTGCGCGACGTTTTCAAAGTGGAAGTCCAGGCGTTTTTGTTTACATTATCTATAAATAAGACTGTGAAATGCACTGAATACAATTTATCTTTTTATATAAAATTAATCGATGTATGCACATAGATACCTACATACATAAAATGTGAAGTTACATAAAAAAGATGCTTTTATTATTGCACTCGTTTTTACTAACTTTTTAAAAAGAGGTGCGTATGTTGTCTCGAATTCGATTTGCTATGGAAAGATAAGCTTTGTTCTTCCCCTCCTCCTGACGGCTTTTAAAATGGGATTCGTTTGAGTTCAAATTTTAGACTCTGTAGTAAATGCAAATGTTGTGGACTGCTCTAAACAACGTTTATAATTTCACTGACTTTAAACGATGAGTAATAGAGTACAAGATGAATTCCTTATGACTCTTCACTCATCTAAAAAAGATCAAACATGTCCCTAAATCTCCGCCTTTCAACTTCCGCATCAGCAATCTGGGACTCGTTCTTCTCTTCAAGCAATAACGCCGCGGCTATGGATTTCATTATAATTATGTATCCACTTAAATTTTATTTTTAAATTACCGTGATGCTAGGTATATTTAGTTATTTTAAAATATTTACAAACTTTAACTTTATGTGCTGCTACAGTTTGGTGGCAAATATCTCTTTGTTTTGCTTCGATTTCACACATTCCTAGGCAAACAGCTAATTTCGAAAGATGTTTTCTGTCTTCCTCTTCTTCTTTCGTTTCGATCGTAACGCAGAATACCTAAGTTCGATTCCAGCGGAGCGGAATGCGGGAACGTAATCGAAATGCAGAATAGGGCTGATTATTATTATTATCCGTTATTATTGAATCATGGCTTTTTGGGTTCCTATCAAAATGTATTCAACAAAGGCCCTTATTATGAGTTGCATTCGATTTTCGATCTTCGATGGCTATCAAAGATCGAAAGTGAAATTCGTATTATGAGCTATGCAAGCGTGTCGAAATTTTCGTTGAGTATCGAATTTTCTGTCGAACAGAATTTTGCTTTCGTTGGTGTAGCGAAGAGTTAGAAAATTGTGAAAAATTTATGATTTTGCATTTGTTTTCTTACTTTTTGGCGGCTAGACACTAATTCTAAACAATTTTTATTAATTTCATGCAATTCCAACGTCGTGAATACAAAACGCAAGCTCGAATGTCTGGTTTTACTTATGAAAGGAAATGCCAATACGCTGTTGGCACGATCTCTGAGAACAAAATCATAGATCTGTTTATAGTTTTAATATATTTTAAATAGATTTGGATCGCAAAATTTCTTAAATATATAGTGTCAAAATATATTCGAAAGACTGCACTTAAATTCTCTTAAACGTTATCTGCGATTGGCCAGTTTTCTAAGCTTCATCCTCTGACGAATCGTTCTACCAGAACTCCGTTGTACTACTTAAAATTTTTTTTCCACGTTTTCATAAACTCGATTTCTTTTTATATCTTTTAAATTTGCACAAATTTACATATGTACATATGTATAAGCACACTATTTAGTTTGCTAGATTTGTAAACAATGCTTCTCGGCGGTGAAAAATATACTATTGTGAACAACCTAAACGAGCGAAATTTACAATAGCGCTATTCTTCATCGAATGAGCGCAATAATACCAAATGAAAATTCGTTCGATCAGCACTTTCGATCACAGTCGAAGATCGAATGCAACTCATAATAGGGGCCAAAGTGTGATTGATTTTGACATTGCTCTCATAAGAAACAGAAACACAACAGAACAGAACGCTTAAATATAAATTTTTATTTTTTAAATACGAAAAACTGTTTTTACCACTTTTATATCGACATTTTCTTTTTAATATTCTTCAATCTTCTTTTTTTGCTAAAGTTTGGTGTACTTCAACTCCTACGGCAGTGGGAGAAGCGCTCGATGTTTCCTGCGGAGCAGCATCTTCCAAGTTGGCGATGTTCAACCCAGGTTCATCTTCATCATCATTTCCGGCTGATTTGTTGTATACCGTAGGATATTGAACAAAACAATCCTGCATTGCTCGAAAAGCTTCAAAGCAATCAGAGCCTTTCGGATCTGCTTTGCTATAGTGGAAGCATGAGAACGCATCCCGAAATTCCACACCACATGGACCAGTTGCCATACCACCCAAGCATGGGCAACTCCAATTTATTTCACCATCACTTGTTATAAGACCCTGTGCAGGCTCTGGTGGCGGCAATTCAACAGTGCTTGGTATTGCATGATCTTCTTTTGTAACGAAACAAACTTTGTCTTTGCCAAATGACTTACAGTACGACATCTTGACTAAAGTGCATGTGTGTAAGAGACTTAAAATTTTAGTTTTTCTCAGATATGTTTCTCAACATGAAATGACAAGGAATGTCTTGAAAATGTCCAATAAGCGTAATGGCTGCACGCGTGCGGGGAAGGAATTCTTTCTGAACTCTGAGAATTGCACGTTTTTGTGTGTTGTCGAACTTTACCAGCTCCAAATCAGTTTGCCCACCAATTTCGCCGAATAAACTCTGTAATGAATCTTCTATGCTCCCTAGAAAGTAAGCAGGCGTCACCACTGCTTTTTCTTCGTCGCGTAATTTCCTATTATTGCAGGATGCCAAAAACGTACAAAAAATCCGTCAAGTAAATGTATTTCCCAATTAAATTGATAGTGCTGCACTCACAATTCTACGTCCAAATAGCAATAGCCTGTCATAGCCTTTTTAGTTTGTAGCAAGAACCTAATTTGCTTTGCATTAATAATTCATTAAAAGGGCCAGGGAGATAAAGAACCAACCAATTTGTTTTTATGTAATTTTTTAAGTCATATGTAGGAATGACAGCGATTAATCATTTCGTTCAATTAATCGATTATTTTTGTGGTTGTCTAAAGAGCGAAATACACCACACAAGCGGCTTGTCAAACATTCTTCAAACCTACTTTTCCCATTTCGCCATACACCATGCAAACATGACTCGTTCAAGCAAAGAATTTTAGTTTTCTTCCAGTTCGCAATGCTAAATATTATGGTTTTCTTTCATTTTCCTCTCTTACGTCCTTACTCGGTGAAAATTTCGTTGCGAATGAGGCGATTTTGCTATACACAACGCAAGCGGTTTGATCAAACATCAACATGGCGGCCAGAAAATCAAAAAATTTTGATTTTTTGCTCAAATTTCCCTCAAGCGGCCAAACCTTCAAACACCCCAGCACAAATGGCTTGAAGCAAAGGGAAATTTCGCTTGGTTTGTCAAACCGCTTGTGTGGTGTATTTCGCTCTTAAGCGATTATTACGTGATTAATTGTGAAATTAGTTGTGTTCCCCAACTTTTCTGGTAAAACCTTAAAACTGTCAAAAGGCAAAAGAAGCCAGAGAACCGTGTACGGGAACGCTTTCTGGTAAATTCCTGCAAATTCTTGCAACTTCTTGCGAGTTAGGGAACGCAACTAATCGTTAAAATATTTTCAAGAAATATGAATTCTGTAGATGTCTAACTTAAGTTGAAATTAGTCAAGAACGTAAACCTACCGGTACGTAAACCCGAGTCAGCTGATACGATCAGTCTTACCAGAGCGCCATGTAAATAAAAACTCAACATCGTAAAATTTTTCTGTAGTTGTAGCCCGTTGCGCAGAAATCTGCGGAAGTTAGATTTTTCCGTGTCAGCTGATTTCTTCCTTCTATAGATGGTTGCCATTTCGTCAGTTTTGCAGATGGTAAAAGAGTTATAAGTTCCTATTCAAAATACGTTTAAAATATTTGAAATTTACTATTGAATAAGGTTTCTTGTTGAAAACTAAATAGTTTATATATAGCTACAATCTATTATAGCACGAAAAATTGTAGTTGAAAAGGTAAGTTCATGAAAAGCCATAGATGAATGGCAACACTGTAGTAAGCAACACTGAGGGCTCCAGTAAACGACAAAATTCTGCGCATACAGACAGCGTTTAAGTTTACGTTCTGCGTTCTTGACTAAATTCAGATTTATACCATGTTCGGACCGCCAACGAAAACACTTTGAAAACGAGTTTTGGGATTGTGGGCTGAAAGCTGTTGTTGCTACGAAAAAATAAAATCAAAATATTTGTCTGCCATATTTCTTATCATTCGCAACCTTTGGCTATTGTTCATATTTTAATTTGGCCTGCCAACTGACAATAGGTTCTTTCCCGTACGCAACGCGGGATCCCGCGGGTGCCCAAAACACCCCAGATATCATTCCCGTACTCCACAAAATGGGTAATAGAGAGCGAAAATTGGAACGTATTGGATCGCAAGTTTATTTTTCTTTCTGCTTGAAACAACCCCGACTTTTCTACGGTCAAATATGGATAAAGTATCAAAGTGTATATCAGCTGTTTTGTGTTTACATGTCACTTTCACTTGGTGCTTTAAAGAAAATTTGTGAAATAAAAATTCAAATTCCAAGTTTTTGCATTGATGTGAGAAAACAAAAACAACATGTATCAGCTGTCTCTCAAATTCTGGGCACGAAATGTGGTTTCTTGCGTTCACATACTTCTGGACTATGTTCCACTTTCGAGAGCAAACTTTCCGGTTATTCTCTAAGTACTGGATCCGGTCCGGATTGTTAGAGAAAGAACTAGCGTATTAAATATGATAAAATATGACTTTCACTTCGATAATTATGTCTAATATACTAGTGAAGACACCGATTGGAATGAGTGGAACGTGAGATTTCAAGTAGTTTTCAGCCGATGTCGGTCCGGACATGGTATTAATTAACTCACTCGCCTTCAAATATCTCTTCTGCAACGCACTGCTTGGGTTAAAAAAATAACAGTTTAACCCTAGGTTACTTAACTCTGAATTTGTAAATTGAACCTTGGATATTCTGCAAGTGGGCCTAAGAGTACAACTGCACAACAAGCTTTCCAGGCGTACACCTCTTTTCAGCCAGAAAGGCTACCAAGCTANAAAATAAAGTCGACTCTAAAGTTAAAAGCAGGTTTTTTTGACAGATATCCCAGTGAAAGTTATGTCAAAAAGCTGCTATTAACTTTAGAGTCGACTTTATTTTGACTATAACTACGGGCCAATATCATTAGTGAACTGAAATTTTGATTTTCTTCCCCTAACGTTTGAGATAAAGATATTAGAGCACTAAATTTGCAAGGGAACACAATAAATTATAAGGGCTGTTCAGGATGTTGTGGAAATGGTCTTGGATTTGCAGTTGGAATTGCATTTGCAATTTTTTTTCTTGGCAACCGCGTACATTTTATGGTTATGAGTTTACAAATGCAACGACTATGCAAATGCAAGAGCATATGCACAAGATCCTGAACAGCCCTATAAATTAATAAAGGTTAAAGATTACTTTTATTGTGATACAAAAATAAACGTTTAACCAATCAGGTGATAAATAACCTAATCGAAAAACCTCACACCCCCAATTATCACTTCGATAATCACCTTAGTTTTCTTCCCAAGTCACTCCGAAACACTTCACTTTTAGTGTGTTTTCACTTCGCTTGAAAATTAGCAAACGGCAGCACTGATGCAGCATTTTCAAAACGCGATCCATACATTTCGTCAGTACAGGCCCGTCTACATACAACTTTGGCGTTGCGTTGGCGCCGGCGTCGCTTTGACAGCAGCGCGAGTAACGCCCGTGCTTGCTACGGTTATGTGGAGACTTTGAGCCAATTTACACGATGACTTTTCACCCTGTGTTTTTGGCATATTCCCTTTTAAAAAAGTCTTCGAAAATCCTCGTGCATTTACACGATGACTTTTTCTTTGCGGCGTTTCTTGCGTATTTTTGACATTTAGGCGTAAAATTTTCTTTGGTCAACTCTATCGTCCTCATTTTTAAAGCGGAGCGAATCGCGAACTCAAAGCAAAAATAAGAAAAAGTGAACTCGATAAAAGCGAAACGTCAAAAAAAACCCTCGTTTTCGCTAACCGTGCGTGCGNAGCAAAAATAAGAAAAAGTGAACTCGATAAAAGCGAAACGTCAAAAAAAAACCCTCGTTTTCGCTAACCGTGCGTGCTTGCCTACCCCGCTGACTTCGCTACACTTCTTGCCTACAAGTTCGACACGCATAACTTTCCAACCAGGGTGAAAAGTCATCGTGTAAATTGGCTCTTTCATATAAATGCATGTATTCATAGTCAGCTGTCAAAGCGACGCCAACGCAGGCCTTACATCTTGTACACAGTATATACAGTAATAAACCTTTTTGAGTACTCCTCGGGGGTAAAATCTGATTAGGGTTGATAATGAGAAGCAGCATGAATTTCGCAGATTCAGAGTTGTATACAAAATTACTGTGGTAGGAAAGGGAGCAACAACCGCACTTTGGCAGAGTGGCACAAGACATGACTGTATTATAGATACTAACACAGATTATCTTTAGTTCAGTGTTTAACTTGTTGGGCAAACTTTACTTTAAGGACCCCCGATATTAGGGGTAAAATTTGTACCTTTGGAAAGCTTGAGATCCCCCCTTTTCAAAAAATACCCACTTTTAGGTGCGGGAACCTTTTTAGTTTTTAAAATATATAGCATTAAAGTTTTTTTTTTTTACTTGAGAAATCAACGACACCGTATATTAGACAAAGCAACACAAACTTATACGCCAAAAACTCTTGACACCAGTTAAAATTGTTTCAGCTCTCATTAATATGTATTTTTAATTGAATATCACTTTGGTATGAAGTAATATCGTTTAAAAATTTCGTGCGAGAAGCCATTTGCAACTCAGCGTAAATGCTTCAATATAAACAATGAAAGGAATATGTTGCCACATGGGCCAAGCAATATAAAAAATATAAATATAATGCTGCTGAACACCTTTTGCAGAGAACACTTTCTGCGTAGGCGGCCTTCGGCCGCGCTTAGGGATTATAACACTCATTAGGTAGAGTTCTCCTTTCAGTGTTGTCAAAGAAAAGGGGCTGAACACCTTTTGCAGAGAACACCATTCTGCGTAGGCGGCCTTCGGCCGCGTTTGGGATTATAACCCTCACTTCCTAGAATTCTCCTTTCTGTGTTGCCACAGAAAAGAGGCTAAACACATTTTGCAGAGAAGACTTTTCTGCGTAGGCGGCCTTCGGCCGCGCTTATGGATCATAACCCTCACTATGTAGAATTCTCCTTTCTGTGTTGCCAAAGAAAAGGGGCTGAACACCTTTTGCAGATAACAGCTTTCTAAGTAGGCTACGTAGAATTCTCCTTTCTGTGTTGTCAGAAAAAAGAGGCGCAACATCTTTCTGCAAAGCCCCTCTTCTCTTTTTAAAAATATATTACATTTATTGTACAAATAAATATTCAAGGTGGAGGATCATAACCATTAATCAGCAGAGTTCTCCTTTTTTCATATCAAATAAATATATATTAATATACATGCAAAACATTTGCTTTGAGGAGGCATAAAACCTCAACCCCTCATAAGTGTAAAACTCACGGCGAATAGAGCAAAAGAAGTAAAAGCAAACTTCACAAACGTTCTTCTCTTTCATTTATTTTATTTTTCATTTTGACAATCTGGTAACACACGTTTTATGTCAATACGCAAGCCGCCATTTACGCTAGTTGTGAAATCAAGAAACAAAATATTTAATAAATAAAATATAACTGTTTTCTAAGGGAAACACCAAAAAAATTAATAATAACTAAACTAGAAGGCTCCTGCACCTAAAAGTGGGTATATCTGAAAAGTGGAGGACTCCAGCTTTCCAATGGTACCACTTTTAATCCCCGAATGGGGGGTCTCCGTTTCTAAGTGCACCCAACTAGGGATGGGTAAATTCGATATTCGAAGCTTCGAGATTCGAGNAGCTTTCCAATGGTAC